GTAGTTGATTGATCAGTAAATCCTACAGTTGATAGTTCAGGTTCCTCTGTTGAATCCTCCTCTGATGAATCATTTGTAGATATGTCTGATGTGAATGTGGTCGTCAATTCCTGTGCTTCATCAGTATTATTGTCAGTGAAGTTTATCGTTATTTCTTCTAAAGTGGATTCAGCTGTAATTCCTGTGGTTGGTTGTCTTGTAGTTGATTGTTCAGTAAATCCTACAGATGATAGTTCAGGTTCCTCTGTTGAATCCTCCTCTGATGAATCATTTGTAGATATGTCTGATGTGAATGGTGTTGTTAGTTCCTGTGCTTCATCAGTATTATTGTCAGTGAAGTCTATCATTATTTCTTCTAAAGTGGATTCAGCTGTAATTCCTGTGGTTGGTTGTCTTGTAGTTGATTGTTCAGTAAATCCTACAGTTGATGGTTCAGGTTCCTCTGTTGAATCCTGCTCTGATGAATCATTTGTAGATATGTCTGATGTGAATGGTGTTGTCAGTTCCTGTGCTTCATCGGTATTATTGTCAGTGAAGTTTATCGTTATTTCTTCTACGATTGTGTCGTTAAGGCTGTGTTTGGTTAATCAGTATCTCCTATAGTTGACGGTTCAATCTCCTCTGTTGAATTGTCCTCTGATGAATCAGCTGTTGTTGATTCATCTGTGAAATCTGTTAGTAATTCAGCAGTAAATGCTGTAGTTTCTGCCATAAATTTTGGTGAGTTGTTTGACTGATCTGTAATATCAATGGTAGGGTCATCCAGCAAAGATGTTGAAAAATCTTCCATTGTTGTCATTCCTGTCATGTTACCATCGGTTGATTCATTTACAATGTAAATATTTTTTGGTTTCAGTAAATTCATTTCTGGGAAGTTGTGCAACATGATGAAGTGAACTCAACTGTTAAGCCAGTTAGAGATTCCACAGTGCTGCTTGTAATTGATTCCGTGGAAATCTCTGTGGCAAATCCATCAGTTGTGTCTGCTGTAGAATCATTTGTAACATTAATATTTAAATCTGTTGCAATGTCATTTGTTGAGTCTGTGGCTGCCGTAACATCAGTCATTGTTGTTGACTGAACTCTGATTGCAGTATGTGCTGTTAAAAAAAATGATCAAACATTAGAACAAGTGCACAGAAATTAATGAGTGAAAACAGAGGGATCAACAATATGGCATTCTAAATATAAATGTAAAAAGATATGAACTAACCAGTGAACATAAAAACGGTGGTCATCAGTACTGTTCTCCACATCTTGATAGTTGTAAGAACCGATCACATTTGAACATAACGTAAGATGAGAGATAAATTATCAAAATACAGATTTCATATCATTTGTTTTTGTTGTATAAATGGCTTGCCCACCAGACTTTCTCAGTTCTCTCTTGGAAACTCCTCAACTGTCTCCCCTGTCTGACGGACCCGGTTCAGGTCATGGAGCATTTGATTAATGAGCTGATGAGTTGAATGAGGTGCATTAGATCAGAAAAAATGTATTGAAAAATCGCAGTGCTTGAGTGTGATTTAGTTATTGTGTGGTAGAGGTTTGCTAGATGTCAGTGAGACCTCACAATATGACGGGTTTCATTCTGGGATCGGGTCAGATTTTAATGGTTAACTTTGAGTTTGCACTGGGTTAGAGGTTCTAAATAATGAAAAAATAGGCTACTATTTCACAATTTTTTGCAGTCAATTTGTACCTAAAATGTGTGCGTCTAGGTCTGCATCCTTGGAAAGTAGAATTTGTACCTGTTTGGTCGGGTCAAGTGACAGTTTCACTTACAGGCTGAGTTGGGTTTCAACTTAAAGGGAACGTTCACCCAAAAATGAAAATTGTGTCATTAATTACTAACCCCTTATGTCATTCCAAACCTGTAAGAACTTCATTCATCTTCGGAAAAACAAATTAAAATATTTTTTGGATGAAATCCGAGAGCTTTCTGACCCTCCGTAGACAGCAACGCAACTGTCACGTTCAAGGCCCAGAAAGGTAGTAAGGACATCGTTAATATAGTCCATATGAAATCAGTGGTTCAACCATAATTTTATGAAGCTGCAAGAATATTTTTTTGTTGCACAAAGAAAACAAAAATAATGAACTTTGGCAAAAGATTTTGAGCCATTTTGCTTTAATAAATTCTTCTTTCAGACTAGAAAATACAGCCAAAGTACATTTTAGTGTTTAATTTATTACACTTCATCTGTTTGCATGTGCAGATGATTTCAATCATATTTTTAAAGGCTGTTTTCTGAAAATGAGTTTTTCTCCACTTCTGCAGCGCTTACATACGCCAAACTTAGCAGTTTTATTCCTCTCTATATTCTGAGGGGTTTTACTGAGGGGTTTGTTGAAATAACTTAATATGACTTATTAATATGTAGACTAACTTAGCCCTTATGTTAGGACTGTGTCTTAAGAACAAGTCTGACCAAATAGCAGTTATCCAGTGGGTAATTAATCTTATTTTTTTAATTCAACTTAGACTTATCTACATTTTTATGTAACCGACTTAAGTTATGACCTGTCTTAAAGAAAAAAATTAATTTGTAAGAGTAGTTTTCATTCACGTTAATTTTTTCTGTCTTCTCTCTTTTCTCACTTTTCACTCATTGTTAAACAGATAATAAGAATAATTTACTTTTTTTACCAATGCAAGACAAATTAATATAATCAATATATTTTATATATACTCTGATCATTATATAATTTGTCTTGCTAGGTCGTTGGTCTCTTTCTGCGTCCTTATTTCACTCATTCTAAAAGCTGTAAAGTTGGCAGCCATTTATCACCTCTGCAATGATTGTAGGTTATAAAAAGTAGCAGTACTCTGATTATGGTTATATGTATAGTTAAATATGTGTGGAAACATATGACAGCTACTTTTGGCCATTATCACAAAATAATTCAATTATGTTATGTTGTGACTGCAGATTTCACTGAAAATGTCTTTTCTCCTTTTTTAACTTTAGTTCCCCAGACTATGTATGCAAATTCTAACCCCAGGTTAGCATCTTAGTAATGCGACCAACTGTGTTCTTTTTTTAAGGCTAGTACCATTAGTTGAACAAATTTCTGTATACTGACTCTGTATATATGGCAGATTCTTAAGCTATTTATAATTATTGACATATTTAACTCTAAGTTAGTGACTGATATTTATGGAAGCCCATTTCCACTGAATAAAAAATTTAAAAGATAATTGCTACTTTTTATCTCACAATTGACATTTTTCTTGAGATATAGGCTAAATTGCAATTCTGACTTTATAACAAGCATTTGTGAGATATAAACCCGCAGTTGTGAGAGAAAAAAGTCTGTATTGTGGGAAAAAAATTAGGATTAGGATATTAATTTGTCACGCATTGGAAAAATTAGGAAAAAGTCAGAATTGCAAATTTATGTCTCATAAATGTATGTCTTCAAAACAGGTTAGGCTGTAAGTCCCATGGTAAAGGTAAATAAAGTCGTGCATTACTAAAATTCAGTGTTTTATTATCTGTCTTTGAGTCATTTGATGTGACAGTGAGGCATGTCATTATCACAAGGGCAGTAGATTCAACAGAAGGAGGAACACCATCACTAATTCACATGTCTGTAAAACAGCATTCCAAAGTTTTAAGTTCTGCTAATTCATTCTTTAGCAGTTAAGTGGTGCATTGATAATACATTCCATTTTCAACCAAACTGGACTGAGATCTTATCAGTGCGCTCCTTATTTATGACATCCAATTATCCTTTCTGCTGTCCTAACTCGTCACCGTCCTGTATGAGGCCGATGAGTGTAGTGTCATCTGCAAACTTCAGGAGTTTGACAGAGAGGTCTTTAGAAATGCAGTCACTTTTGTAGAGGGAGAAGAGCAGTGGGGAGAGCACACATACCTGAGGTGCGCCAGTGCTGATGGTGCGGGTGTTGGATGCGAGTTTTCCCAGCCTCACTAGCCACTAGTGGTTGCCCACTGAAGCTAAGCAGGGTTGAGCCTGGTCAGTACCTGGATGGGAGACCTTTTGGGAAAACTAGGTTGCTGCTGAAAGAGGTGTTAGTGAGGCCAGCAGGGGGGTGGTCACCCTGTGGTCTGGGTGGGTCCTAATGCCCCAGTATATTGACAGGGACACTATGCTGTCAAAAAGCGTCTTTCGGATAAGACGTTAAACCGAGGTCCTGACTCTCTGTGGTCATGAAAAATCATTAATTCATTCATTCATTCATTCAGTAGCAGTGGTCCAGTATATTGCTGTCTCTGGTGGGGCATGTGATGTGCTGTCTATATTTAGGCAGTTCACGGGTGAGATTAGCTTTATTAAAATCACTGAGAACAATAAGAGTCCAGATAACGCTGTTCTGTGTGCTTGATCTGATCGGCCAACAGTTCTAGCGCCGCTTTCACATGCGCGCCAGGAGGAATGTACACACTCACCAGAATAAATTAGGAAAACTCCCGCGGTGAATAAAAAGGCTTGCAGTTAATAAAGAGAGCTTCCAAATTTGGGCAGCACATCTTTTTTAAAACTGTCACATAGGGCTGCATGATAAATCGAAATGAAATCGTAATCGCGATTAGGCAAAAGCTGCGATTGTCATGCGTATCTTTCAGTGAAGCATGGTTCTGTGATCAGCATTAAATCTCCATCCGAAGGCTTATTAAAAAATAACCCAACCTTAACCCCACTGCTGGGTCACTATTGGACAGAACACGGGCTGGGTTGTTTTGACCCAAGTGCTGGGTTTTACCATTTAACCCAGATTACTGGGTCATTCATTTGACCCAACCAGTGGGTGAAATTACCTCTCTTGCTGGGTTGTGTTACTCATGTGTTGGGTTTTAATGGTTATAAAATAAAATGAATGTAAAATTATTGTTGCCCTGTAATACAATAAAACAAAGAGATCACTGTAAATGTGTTTTTAATTACATTTAACGGTTTATTTTAATTACTTTTTTTTTTACATTTTGAATACTTTTTTATACAAGTTTAGAATACAAATGTTAAAACCCCAACCTCCCCCACAGACAAGGAGCCCTGCAACAAAAGCAAACTTTAAAAGGATGATTAAACGTGAAAACTGTTGTCCTAAAAAAATTAACAGATGATAACTCATATCCATCAATCTCATACACAGCATGCTGGAGAAACTTCAAAGTAGGGGGACACTGCTTTGTGTAATTAACATCAAACACACACAAAAAAGCTTTAAAATAAACAATCAGTCTCCAGCAAAGAGTCTCTCAATGTTGTGGCCTGGCAAGTCTGGCACATCCACCTGGTCTCGTCTCCAAGGCACAAAATGTGGAACGATGCTCCAGTCGTCTGCATTCTGTAAATACTCCACCATGTTGGTCCCCACCTGTTGATTACACAACATCACTTAGTGTTAGAATATAACTGACATGTAAATCAAGCTTTTTTGTGGAATGGAAAAGAGCCTGACCCTGCATAGACAGCAACGCAACTACCATGTTCAAGGCCCAGAATGGTAGTAAAGACATTGTTAAAATATTTAAAATGTAAGAAGGAATTGTTGAATAAAGTCAATATTTTTGTTTTCTTTACGCACAAAACGTATTCTTGTAGCTTCATAAAATTACGATTCATCCACTGGTGTCACATGGACTATTTTACCGATGTCCTTACTACCTTTCTGTGCCTTGAACGTGGTAGGACCCGTGCTGTCCAAGGAGGGTTAGAGAGCTCTCGTATTTAATCAAAAATATCTTAATTTGTGTTTCGAAGATGAATGGAGGTCTTATGGGTTTGGAACCACATGACAGAATTTTAATTTTTGAGTAAACTACACCTTTAAGAATTGCAGCTTTTTTAAAACTTTAGTTGTTAAAAATAAACAAAAATAAATTTTAAAAAGTGCAGTTTTATGTTTTAAAACAGAGATAGCGGTAGAGAGGAAAAAGTTATGGCTTGACATTCAAACACCTTAAGCCCGAGACACAGCACGATTTTAGCAATCCTATAAGATCATTGCATGTCACACTGTGCGACATGGATCTAATAAACTTGGCTATGACGTGTGTAGACTGTACAATGATGACACCTATTGACTCGTAGTCTACAACGCAATACTATATATATATTTATAGCATTACTATAAAAGAATAAAACGTCATCAGCATGCACTAGTGGTAAACCAAAAGAGCATAATAAGTCACACTTTAGCAGTTGCAGTTTTTATGTGTGCTGATGTAACCGGTCAGCAGATGTAACCGGTCCATTCACTGTTACCATCATCTGCGTTGTGTGTAAGAAGACCCAGGACACTTTCACTTCTGTTCACCAAAAGAGGATTTATTTACAGCCACGCCCAGCATTAACTTCACTCTGTCTGTGGATTAACATGAATAAAGTTCATATCTCTCTTTCTTGGGCATTCCATAAAGACATTCCTCTCCCCAGCATATACAATGCGAACTCACTTTGTGCAACAATTGAGAAAGACACTGTTAACACTGAAACATTATAGTATTAACAGTACAAGAATAAAGAAAGAAGAAAATAAACAATAACAGTGAAATACCTGTGGATTAACATGAATAAAGTTCATAACTCTCTTTCTTGGGCATTCCATAAAGACATTCCTGTATGACATAATATTTGTTAATTAATGACTCAAAACCATGCCAACAGCATATCATACGGCCCACACGATATAACTTCACATTCTTAATCCACTCGCATATAAAACTTATAACAGAACACTGCATATAGTCTCAGTATCATTTACAATAGAATATTTAGTCGATTTATACACTTTGCAAACTTTATTCACTTATAAAATGAAGAGCTCTGACAACGCTTACCTCTCCCCAGCATATACAATGCGAACTGAAGAGAAGCGCGCACTCACTTGAAAATGGCGTCAGTAGAGCGCCAGGAGAATTTTTCAAAACAAAAGTATGTAAACAGTGAACAGCAGAATCAACAAATATTGCTCAAAGAAAAACAAAAATAAACCAATAATACAATAACAAATAAATCCGTAGTGAAAAAGCAATGTGTTACATTCAAACTGTATTCACTATAACTCGTTACATTCACCCTTTCCGAATTTCACTAAAATCCGTACTGGTTCCAAATCAAATGACTGGTACAGATCTACAATGAAACATTCATTAGTTCAACTTGAGAGTTACCCACTATTAGGTCAAGAAAAACCTCAGGGTGATCAAGCCTAAGATCATCTTGGAACATTACGATGCCTGGTACACCATAATATGACCTGACCCTTGTATTTTATCATTGGAATCAAAATGTCTTTTCACATCATACAAAAACAAAACACAGCAGAGTTATCTTTAGAACAAAGAACGAAATGACCCAGTTCTCTTTTTCAGATTACTTCCTACACCTTGGAGGTAAAAGGGTTTCTGAACCATTTACTCAATTAATCTATTCACTTTCTTAACAACTCTACCTGCTCATGTCTTAAGACCCTGAACATCAGGAACTTGAACTTGGGTGTCAGTGTCAGTTTGAATGTCAGTCTGAATTTGTATATGTGTATCTGTGTCACAGTCAGGAATAACATCAAGAGATGTTGGACTGGCTTCAGCTTCGCTCTGAGGAAGATCCCTGCTACTATTCTCTTTAGTCTGCAACTGATCACTGGACTCTCTTCCATCCGAATTGAAATGGTCAATTCCAATCACTTTCTCAACATCAGAGTCTTGAACTGCAGGACTTTCAAAGTCGTCATTCACCCATCTCATGGTTCTTTCCTCCAGGTCCCTCGGATCGAAGTCTTCGACACAGAACTCACTCCTGATGCTATGTGTCTCACACTCTGACTCCCCTGTAGAAGGTAGTATGCGTCCCTCCTCATCAGGCGACTCAACAGGTAGGAAAACTAATATCCAACAGCAGGTTCCTGTGCACTATCCCCACATTCCCTTTCTCATCCTTGAGTTTGTAAGTGTGCGTCTGCAGGTTCCTGTCCACTACAGTGTACACTACAGGGTCCCACTTACCAATATCCAGAGATGTCCCTCTGACTTTCTTGTTGTAACCTTTTGCCTGTTTCCTCTGCTCTTTTTCAGAATGTTGCTGCGCGATCTCAGCCGCTTCATGGAGGTACGACATCAACGACTTCAGGTAAGTACCATGATCCACAACTACAGGGTCATGTAGCACCTGTCTGAACATAACGTCCACCTGCAATCTCGGTACACGACCAAACAGAAGCTGGAATGGAGCGTACCCCGTCGTCTCGTGGACTGTGGCGTTGTAGGCAAAGATCAACGTTTGTATTTGCTCTGGCCATTTGTGCTTCTCTTTCAGAGGCAGGGTTCGGAGCATACTCCATAAAGTTCTATTAAACCTCTCTACTCCTCCATTTCCCATGGGGTGGTAAGCGGTGGTGTGAGACTTAGCGACTCCTGATAGTTTTAACAACTCCACTAGAAGGGTGCTTTCGAAGTTGGCTCCCTGGTCAGTGTGGATGCGACTCGGGAATCCGTACACACAGAATACACGGTCCCACAGCTTCCTTGCGACTTTTGCCGACTGAAGTCCGATCCGTGGGCTTGAACTTCCTGTAAGTTCCTGCTTTAGTTTCTCCCTTGATTCCTCTCTTCCTTCTCTGCCCAGCCGTGAGAGCAAAGAGTGGCTTTGCCAAAGAAGAACATCCAGGAATGAAATGTTGGTAATATAAGATCATACCAAGGACTGGTTTAATTCTTTGCACTGATGGAGTGCATCTATCACCTTCCATCAGATCAAACTTGGACAGCTTCGAGATAACTTCAACTTTAGCAGGATCTACAGAAACTCCATCTCTGTCTATAATGTGACCCAAAAACTTTACAGAGGTTCTCAGTAGGTGGCATTTCTTAGGACTCGGCTTGAGATTGTACTGCCTCAGATGACTGAACACGACCTCTAATCTTTCTAATGCCTCCTGCTCATTTGGAGCGAACACCAACAGGTCGTCAAGATAACATAAGCTGCTAAAGTTTAAGTCTCCAAAGATGCTTACCATCATTCGCATAAAGGAGGCTGGGCTGTTGCATAGCCCTTGCGGCATCCTATTATACTCGAGCAGCCCTACAGGAGTCGTGAACGCAGTATATTTCTTGTCCTCTTCGGCCATGGGTATATAAAATCCTGATGTCAGGTCAATGGTGCTGAAGAGAGTGTTTCCGCCTAGAGCGGCTAAGCAGTCGGACTAATGTGGAAGTGGATGTGCATCCGTTATCATTCTTGCATTCACCCATCTGAAGTCTGTGCATATCGGTGAACAAAGCCCTTTACTTCGCCATAGTCCAAAGCATGCTTGGAAAACACATCGTTGTATCTCTCCAGTAATTGGACTAACTTCTCTTTTGTTTCATGGCTGACAGAACAAGACTGGATGTCAAGATCAGCAAGGCCAACAGTTTCCAATCGCTGTCTGAAATCAGCTGATGAATTAGGTAAGTGCTGACTCTCCTTCCCAAACACCTCAGCTCGACTCAGCCCTTGGAAAAGTTCAAAATCCTCCACGGCGACACATGGGAATACGTCTGCCAATTTGCGATTTCTCTTGAGTGTGACTGGCTTGTCAGAGACGTTGGTGACTTTTAGGGGAACCCAACAATCACCCCATAATGGCGTAACAACTCGCCCGACCATGATGTCTCGTGACACAGACCTTGAAATCGTTGGTTCCACTACAACTGTGCTCTCTGGTGACATGGGGACATTTTTTGGCAACTTTCCCCAGACAAGGTGCTCCTGTCTTGCTAAGAGGGTGACACATTGCTGTAGCTTGATTGTTCCCACCTTGTCTGGCAACTCTGAGCCCTTCCACCGACACATGTTGGCCATAACATCAAGGAACTGCTCACATCCTGCCATTGGTTCCACTGTCTGATTAGAAATAAGTTGCCAGTAATCCCTGTCGCCTTTCATGTGATGTGCGAGGAATTTGACCACATTTGTGCCAATGATTAGATCATCCCGCTGGCCGGGTACAACGAGAATAGGCACTAGGCAGCTCTCTCCATAAATTTTCAATTCAACCTCATACATACACTTTGGCCTTGTAACTATACCCCCGCATCCTACTAGAATGACTTCCTGTTGAAGGGGTGTGGGTGGAGGCAATTCATTCTCACTTAACATCCTCTTTTCTGCTTTGTCACTAAAGGTGCAGGCCATGAACCCTGTATCAAGCATTCCCTTCATTGAAAACACATTATTTACACTGACTGGTGCATGGAACAATTCATCGAATGCCTCAACTGCCTGGACATTTTTGCTATCACTTTGGTTCCAGTGGAAGCCTGTGCACATGCATTTTCATAAAACTGATGAAGATCAACACTCTCTAGGGGTTCTTCACTTGTGCCCAAGCATCCCCCTTCCAAATGTGAGCCATCTAGTTTAAACCTGAAAAGCCCCTGAATGGTGCCGGGCCAGGTCTCGACCTGTCACTTGTACAGTCTCTCTTACTATGCCCAGGCTGAAAGCACGCAAAGCACAGATGTTCCTGCCGACAGTGCGTTACAGTGGAGCGATCTGGAGATCTGCATACTCTACAGAGCTTGCCTTGGGGCTGGTGAGATGGCATTTGGACATTTTGAGACAGTACACGATCAAGAAGATTAATCAGAGCTCTCATACAATTGTCGTCACCCTGTATAGTGTGTGCAGTGCTGACTCTGCTACACTCACCTGGCTCTATTGGAGAGCCAACATCTGCTTCATCATCTTCGTGGGACGTCTGAACATGAGCGGTGACATGCCTTGTAGCAGTATGACGTTTTGACTTGATTGACATCTGCTCTTTTAACTCTGTCTGGTACCGATCAAGCTGCTCTTGGATCTCCTGTGCTGTCCATTTTTCTGGAGCTTTGAAACGAAAAACTGCAGCAAGAGTAGGAAGGGTCCATAGGTCCTCATATGGCTTGTTAACTGAGGGGTGTTACAGAGTATTTGTTAAATAAAGCTAACAAAATATATATTTTGTGTTTGATTGGTTGATTGATTGGCTACAAGAGTCAGGGCAGTACTTCACAAACATCATGGCCGCTTCTTGACATGGATCCTCAATTCATCGTCCAAGCCTCTTTAAAGCTTCCTCCGCAAGATCCACTGCTTTATTCAGCCACAACCAGTATTCAACGGGATCTTCTCCTGCTAATGGAACAGTGCCATAGAAGTCAGCCAAAGGCATACATGAGTAATTAACATCACTAAAACGCTGTTTCAGGATGTCTATGATAACCTTTGGGTTCTCAACTGGGTTTAAAGCTGAATTACAATGGAGAGTGACTCTGACGACATCCTTCGCTTTACCCATCAATCTGCTTAAAATCTCTTGATGCTGCTCTGCTAATGGTATTCCTCTCTTTCTCAGATACCTGTCCATCAGCTCCTCCCATTCACGTACACCAAGCTTGTCTGATGCATCTCCGTGGTACACTGGGGGCTCTTTTGCTTCACTCTGCATGACCAACCTCACTCCAGTCAAGTTAAGTGAAGGTATTTCTGTGAATGTCTTGCTGGTACCTAAACCTTGTGTTTGTGCACCTCTATTCTCTCCTTCCCCAAAACTAGCCTTCCTTTGAGATGCTAACATTGTCTGACCAACTTGTTGAGCGATATGTGCTATCAACCCTTGCCAGTTTGGATCATTTATGTCTGGAACAGCTAAGGGCAAAGTGTCAGCTGTTGGATTGGGAACATTATCAATTACACGTGTAGAGCACAACAAATGAGGCGTTCTGTTCACTCTACTCTCCCTTTCAATTGGAGCGACTGAAGTTTCACCAAAAATGTTCCCCCTACCAAGACCCAACCCAGTCATTGTTTCATCAAATTCATCTCCGTTTGAACTAAATGCCATTTTCAGTTTCATAAACAAAATAAATCCAACAGAAGATAAATGTCCAAATAGAATAAACTAT